AATAGAGACTCTAGGATGTTGGTGATGTCAGAATGTGGGAGTTTTGTGTCAGAAAGTGCCGGCTCTGAATGGAAAGGGCCTAAGAGAGGCCACGCATGCTGCTGGCAGTGGAGCCATAGAGAGAGGGACGCCCAGCCTGTTGGACTCCACTGATGCCACCATATGCCTCAGATATCAGACATAGTGCTACAAGATTTTATGTTTGCCCTCTTGGATTTTGGGCTTGCTTTAGTCCTTTCTTTCCTTGTTACCCTCCTATTCCTTCCTGTTGGAATGGGAATGTGTACTCTGTGCCACTGTATGTTGGAAGTGTGTAACTTCAGTTTTAATGTAATATAGGTTCACAGTTAAAAAGAAAGAAAGAAAGAAAGAAAGAAAGAAAGAAAGAAAGAAAGAAAGAAAGAAAGAAACTCAAGGCCTTATGCTCACAAGGCAAGTACTTTACTGACTGAGCTATGTCCCCAGCCCCTTAAAAAAAATATGTATGTGAGTGTTTTGCCCACATATATGTAAGTGCACCCATGCATGTAAGAGGCCAGAAGAGGGCATTAGATCCCCTGGAAGTGGAGTTACAGATGGTTGTTAGCCTCCATGTGGGTGCTGGGAACAAACCCAGGTCCTCTATAAGAGTAGCCAGTGCTCTTAACCACTGAGCAATGTCTCCAGCCCTAGCAAAAGAGAATCTTAAAAGTTGCTCAAAAATGAGAAAGATCATCTTTAAAAGACTGGTAATGAGACAGGTCTCTGACTTCCCAATAGTTAGGGTGGACCTGGGAAGGTAGTAGAGCATCATCTTCAAAGGGCAGACATTCCTTGACCCAGAATGGGGTTACAGCTGCTAAACTCATCTGAAGTTGGAATACAGTAACTCAAAATTGTGAGGGCTGCACCTAACCCATGCTTGTCCCCCTGAGCTGCAGAGCGCACTGTGGAAAGTCAGATGTTCCCCTCAGGTTAGCATGGCTGATGGGAGCTGTGGCCACTCCCCTCCCTGCATGGCCAGAGAGGAGCATACTGCATATGTTAGCCTGGGAAAGGACCAGAATTGCATATTTGAAGCCGGCTTTCTACAGAGCATGTTACTTCTTCATCACTGTGAAGTTGAAAAACCATGGATCTAACCATCACACACCAGGGAACATGTGCTCTGAGAAACATGGTGGCCATCTGGAGCTGCACACTCAGGAAACAAGTCTTTCAGGAATGAGGGACAGAGAATGCCACTCGAAAGGAACACTGTGGGTGATGCTCTGCCAAAGAAGGCACTCGAGTGTCCGGGAGATGGCTCAGTCAGTAAAGTGCTTGTCTTGCAAACATGGGGCGGCGTTCAGACCCCCAGCACCCACGTAAAAAGCCAGGCCTGTTGGCTTGTAATCCCAGTGCTGGGAAACTGGAGACACCGGGATCACTGGGGCTCACTGGCCAGTCAGCCTGGATGAACTGGCAAATACCAGGCCAGTGTCTCAAACTCAAAAAACAAGGTAGAGGGGCTAGAGAGATGGCTCCGTGGTTAAGAGCACTACCTGCTCTTGCAGAGGACCTGGGTTCGGTTCCCAGCACCCACATGGCAGCTAACAACTATCCATAACTACAGTTCCAGGGGATCCAATGCCTTCTTCTGACCTCCATGAGCATTGTATGCACACATGGTGCACTTACATACATTCAGGAAAAACACTCATACATAGAAAAGAAAAATTTAAAAATAATTAATTTAAAAAAAAAAAGCAAGGTGGAGAGTGACTGAGGAACGATATCCAAGGTTATCTTCTGGTATGCATGTGTATTTGTACACATATGTGCCCAAATACACACACACACACACACACACACACACACACACACACACACGAGCGCAAAGAAATATTTAAAAAGTGAAAAAAACCCACTTCACCAAAAGGCAAGATCCCAGCCCAGCAGCCTGTGACAGCAGAAGAAATGGAAAGCAAAAGCCACAGGAGGCAGAGCTCCAACAAAGAACTTAAACTGAGACAGAGGGAAAAGCCAGGGAAGGGGGCAGGCGGGAAACCTGCAAGGGGAGGAGGAGGGTGCCAGGGGTACCCCAGTCCCAAGGAGACATGGGCATTAAATGTTCAGGGATGTAGGTGTCAGTAGATAACGTCTAATGGACAGCTAATGCCTGGAGTGAAGACTAGGAAGCAGCCACGCAGTACACTCCAGATGTGGGAAAAGCACCAGGTGATTTGGGAAGCACAAGAAAATTTTATCCTGAGAACTGGGCCTGTAACTCCATGTCGGAGCATGTGCCGAGCCAGCGTGGTCACTAGGTTCAATTCCCAGTACAGCCAATTAATGAATAAAGAAAGAACAGAGGAAGGGAGGAAGGGAAGGAGAGAGAGAGAGAGAGAGAGAGAGAGAGAGAGAATATATCCCCCCTAAGGAGCTATAGGCAGCTAACAATTACTGGGGTGAGGATGTAATTTTCTCTAGTGGTGTAGCCACAGGAAAGCTGTCCACCACCCATGCCCATGCAAGCAACTCTAATTAAACCCAGACCAACAGACACACATACACATACACACACACATACACACACACTCACGCAGAGCAGGGGGACTTGGACTTGTTGGGAAGAAGGGTTTCAGTGGGAGGAAAATGAGGGAGGGGAAAGGAGGGGAAAATGACCAAAATTCATTATGTACATATATAAAATTGTCATAAAAAAGGAAAGAAAATCCAATTATTTGGAGGGAGAAATGAGGCGAGAAAGACAGACATTTTCTTTGTTTTGTTTTTTTTTTTCTTTTTTGGTCTTTTTGAGACAGGATCTCCCTGTAGCCCCAGCTGTTCTGGAACTCACTATGTAGACCAGGCTGGCCTTGAACTCACAGAGATCCGCCTGCCTCTGCCTCCTGTGTGCTGGGATTAAAGGTGTGCACCACCATGCCCGACCTTTTCTTTGTATTTTTTTAAATTTGTATTTTCAAAAGTTTTTATTTATTTATTTATTCTTATTGTATGTGTATGAGTGTGTTGCCTGCATGTATGTAAGTGACACCCATGTCGAGCAATGACTGTGGAGCTCAGAAGACAGCATCAGATCTTCTAGAACTAGAGTTACAGATGGTTGTTAGCTGTCATGTGGGTGCTGGGAACTGAACCTGGGTCCTCTGGAAGGTAGGTGGTGCTCTTAACTGCTGAGTCATCTCTCCAGCACCCTTTGAATGTTTTTAAGAGTCGGGCTCTCACTGTGTTGTCTACTGTCTGCCAAGCCTCTAGGACTTTAGTGTGATGATTCTAATATCATTTGGGAAGGTGGGAACTGGACAGATAAAGAAACAGAGGCACAGGAGGGTAAATGAGGATTGAACCCAGGGCTGTTTCTGGCAAAGCCTGTGTTCTCTGAATACTTTCCCCAGTGGCGTTTCCTTCTTCCAGAATGATTGAGGCCAGAGCATTTGGAATTAAAAAGCCCAGTTTGGGGGCATCTGTGTATATACAGTGAGATACCCTGAAGTGCCCAGGCTAAGCTTGAAGTTTGTACACACCCCACACATGAAGCCTCAAGGTTAGTTTTGTATAATATTTTAAATAATTTTGTGCATTTTTATACAACCCACTACTCAAGGCCAGATGTGGAAAATTTCACTTCTGGAGTACTGCTGTCACTCTCAAAGTTTCACATTTTAGAGCATTTTGTTAAACACACACATTAAAATTTTTTTGAAGTAGCGGCCCAGTGAGATGGCTCACTATATAAAAGTGCTTGCCTCGCAAGCCTGATGTCCTGAGTTCAATTCTCAGAACTCACATAGAAAGATGGATGTGGCTGAGCCCATCTGTAATCCCAGTGCTCCTGTGGTAAGATGGGGATGAGAATCTCTCAGAAGCTGGCACACAGAGTAACAACAGAAACGAGAGGCTCTGCCTCAACAAGGTGGGAAAGAATCGGCTCCTGAAAGCTGTCTTCTGACCTATACCACACACACACACACACACACACACACACACACACACACACACACACACACACACACACACTCACTCAATAATAATAATAATAATAATAAATTTTAAAACATTTGCCAGATGTGGTAGCCCACACCTTTAATCCCAGCACTTGGGAGGCAGAGGTAGGCAGATCTCTGTGAGTTTGAGGCTAGCCTGGTCTACATAGTGAGTTCCAGGACAGCTGGGGCTACAGGGAGACCCTGTCTCAAAAAAGACCAAAACAATAAACAAAAAATAAAACAAAACCCAAAAACCATTTGAGGTGGATTTCACTCTGCTGCCAGGCTGGTTGTGGCCTCCTGGCATCAAGTGCCCTAGTCTCCGAGGTGGCCTGGACTGCTCTGCCCACTGAGCCCCACTGAGTGTTTGGGATGCTCCACCTGTGTCCCCCTCTCTCCCTGATGGGTTTCTACGGTGACTTCCTGTGATGGAGCAAGCGAAACAAACTAGGGGCCTCCTTCCCCTTCCCGGGTGGCTTGGGGGAAGGGGTCTGCGGCAGCCCCACCGTCCAGGAGGGAGGACTCTAATGACTTACAGAGTAGGTGACGCCACTGGAAGACACAGGCGATGCCTCGTTGTTGGCAGAGGAGGTCACGGCAAGAGAGGCCAGGGCAGGGAAGAGACTCTCCATCTCTGGCTCCTCTGAGAGGTTGTCCTCGCTGTCTGCCCGGCTCTGCTTGTCCACCTCGCCGCCCCGCCAGCCCTCCATGGCAGTGGTGTCCTTCTCAGGCAGGGCCACGTCCAGGCTGCCAGAGATGGACATGAACTCGTCCATACTCTCGTTGGCAAGGAGGTCGCTCTCCAGGCTGTCCTGCACCGCCAGCTCCTCCCGAGGGGCCTCCTCCCGGGATGTGGTAGCTTCGCTGCTCTGCCCATCCTCCACACTGCTATCCCCAGGTCGAAACACAGGGGGGATGCTCCGCTGTGCATCCAAAACACTGTCTTCAGTGCTCAGACTGGGCTCTGAGTGCTCTGAGAGGCCGGAGGAGAAGTTGTGGGAAGAGGGGTGTCCAGAATCCGGGGAACAAGGGCCATTCACCAGGTTTCCATTGAGGATCTTGGGCTGTTTCTCCTCCAACCTGCCTTCTACCTCTGCCTGTTCTACCTCATCCACAGATTCAAATACCTGAGGACAAGGGACATGCAGACACATGGGTTGGGATGTGTACCCCAACGAGGCTTACAGCAGCAATCTATGTATCCAACAAGAGGGGATCAGTTTCAGGGTGAATGCATGCAGTGGAATAGTAGTCAGTGAAAAGACAGTGTGCTCTTATTTATGACAAATAATCTATGTTCTAAATATGCATGTGACCATTTAGAAAGAAACAAGAAGGATGACAGTTGGCTCCAAGGACAGTCTGCTTCACAAAGACTTTTAACACACTTTAAAGATTTTATGCCTGGTGTGTGGCACACACCTTTAATCCCAGCACGTGGGAGGCAAAGACAGGTGGATCTCTGTGAGTTTGAGGCCAGCCTGGTCTACAAGCAAGTTGGAGCCACAGGGAGACTTGTCTCAAAAAAACAAAGAATTTATTATATTTACTTTATGTGTATGAGTGTTTTGCTTGCATGTATGTGTGTGCACCTGGTGCTCTCAGAGATCAGAAGAGGGTGTCGGATCCCCTGGAACTGGAGTTACAGATGATTGTTAGCCGCCATGTGGGTGCTGAGAACTGAACCCGGGTCCTCTGCTGGAGCAACCAGTGCTCTTAATCATGGAGTCATCGCTCCAGCCCCAACTTTTAACACACTAAAGACGTCTTTGTGGCTCTCTGTGTCCTTCAGCTGTAACTCTCCAGGCCCAGACAATGAAGATCACATTCTGAAACCACATGGCATTGTTCTCTGTGTGGCTGTTATCAGCTTCATTGAGAGCTTGTTTTGCCCATTTCTGCTTTTTTGGTGTGCAGTGCTGGGAACCAAACTCTTGACCTCTGACGGTCTTGGCAATCATTGCTGTGTCGCACCCCCCTCCCCTGCCGCCACTCCCATCCCAGGCTACTTCTGTGCTTTTAAGTATTTTTTTTTATTCAATTGATTTAACATAAGCAAAAAGAAAATTCCTAACTTCCATAAGCAAAATTAAGCTTTTTTTGGTCTCCCAAATCAAAATGGTAGAAGGAGGCCTGTTCAGGTGTGTAGATGACTTCCTCCCTGGCAACATCTCCTAGGTACCAGGTTTGATTAGTTTCTGGTCTATCTCTCCACTGTTTCCAACAATGGTGAACTGCACACACATTCATTAAGATTTTCTACACAGAAGGTGACATTCTATACATATTTTATGCTTTACTTATTTTTAAAGATTTACTTGATTTTTTTTATGTCTATGTGTGTGTCTGTATTGGTGTATGTGCACATGAGGGCAGTGCTCTTAGAGTCCAGAAGACAGCATCAGATCCCCTGGAGCTGGAGTAAAAGGGTATTGTGAGCTGCATGGGTGCTGGGAACTGAACTTGGTCTTCTGGAGGAGTGGCAAGCTCTCTTAACCACTGAGCTATCTCGCCAGCCCTTTTTGTCCTTTTCTTTCTGTTTAATAACACTCAAGATGGAATAACTTTTTTGAGAGGGATGTGAAGCTGTTGAGCAATTCATTTGCTGGCATTTACATGAAATTTTTAAGAATGCCCAAGTATTGATATAT